AGGGCTTGGGATTTAGGGCTTGGGATTTAGGGCTTAGGGTTTAGGGTGTATGGGGATTGTCTAGAGATCCACTCTGCCACTCTCCCTTCAGTGCAAGTAAGTTCAGAATTCCCCCAAACCCTAACCCCGAACCCTACGCCCTTAAACCTCTAAACCCTCAACCCTTAAACCCTAAACCCTTAAACCCGTAACCCTAGACCCTAAGTCCCTGAACTGTCATTTGGTGCTCAGTCGGAGTTGAAGCACGGTCGCATTGCAATGCTGGCTTGGGCTGCTTGGCCTTTCCGTGTAGGGTTTTAGGGGTTTAGGGTTTTAGGTGTTTAGGATGTTAGGGGCTTACATGTTTTTTTAATTGATTTAGGGGCTTGGAGTTTAGGGGTTTGAGGGTGAAGGGTTTAGTGTGCAAACTTTCCAACAGGGTGAAGGGTTCACGGGCCCTAAGGGTCTCTACTTCAAGGTTCGGTGGCGCCGCAACTACTTTTTCAATGGGTCACAACTCTACACGTAATTGGGGCCAGGCTATATGAGCCCAGTTCGCGTGGTAAAACTAGGGCGCTAAGCCCAGATAGAAGTAGTTACTCCAAGTAGGGATGTATGGGGACTACAAAGGGATTATGGGCGTCATTACAAAGGAGCCTACAGGGCCTATTTGGGGAAACTCCTATTTCCTTTCCGGGTTAAGGGTCAAGGGCAGCAAGCAGAGACACTCATCTCCACCATTCCATGCTGATGCGAGTATTAGAAGACCCGTGGGATCAAAGTGCTGAGCCCAAACCCCAAACCACATCCTAAACCCAAAACTAAAGCATTATGATCAGAATTTTTTCGTTACCATCATTGTTGTCAGTACAATTATGAACCATTACTATTCCAATTACTACGATGGTTGCTAGTACTTATTGCTCTGGAAGCCTTGGTTGTCCCAGGTATCCCCGAAAAGGTGCGGAATGTTGAGAAAATGAGCCCCGGTTTAGGGTTTGGAGTTCCGGTTAGTAAGCCCCATGTCAGAATCCTAAACCTTTATTCCTCAAGACCTTCAACCCTAAATGCACTGCCCTCAACCCTACGTGCCCCTATAACCCCAAGGTAGGCCCTACACGTCCACCTTAGAGTCCATGTGTATTCGTGCAGAAGATTGAATCGGTTTAGGGTTTTGGGGTATAGGGTTCAGAATAATGTCCAATATTTTGTTTTGGCAATCCTTGTGTAATTTAACAGAATCTAGCCCCCAACCCTCGCCTAATCAACTAGGCTCCTGCATAACACTCCCCATGTTAAACCCTTTTATAACCCAGCTTCTATTCATGCTCCCTCTCTTTTCCACTTGTTTCTCCACTGACTTTGGCCCCCAAACCTTACTGTAAGCCTTCAAGCTAAACAAAACGGAAGAATTACCACGAATATTCCTTCATGATCCTTATAGAACCATAGTACCATATGCCCCCCATCTCCCTACTTTACTTTCTCAAGTGACAATAGCCTTAGTCTGGCTTCTTGGGATGACGTCTTCTCAGAGTCTCTGACCAGCAGGTTTAGGGTTTAGGGTTTAGGGTTCAAACATGGTGTCATGGGCCAGGGACAGGGCTGTCAGGCTCCTCAGCAAATGCCTATAGAAATGAGGAGCTCTGGTGCCGGCTTCTGACAAGACGCGTTCGGTTGGGGTTGCTCTTCGAGGGCAGGGAGACCAACAGGGCTTGTACATTTAGATCTTTGCTCAGTTTTACCAAACCGCGGCAGTTTTTTTTGTTTCGCTGGGTTTTTGTCCTGCCTGTACAGAGGCGGTTTTATAGTACAGTACGTTGGATTCACGCTTGTAAGCCCGAAAGCCTATTACAGAGATCCTGAAACTTAAGTCCTACACTCGCAAACCTAAACCCCAAACTCTAAGCCCTGAGCCCTAAACCCTAAACCCTAAGAGTTTGGGTCCTAACCATGGGTCCCTAATATAGGATCCTCCTTGTTTCCTGGGTCCTAACTATGGGTCCTTAATTGCGTTGTTTAGGGTCTGAAAGGGTATATGGGTGGCTGTCAAAATTATGGTCCCTTTTTGGATCCCTATTACAATACGGCTTCTAATATTTAGTCTACCCAAAAAGGGACCATAATTTTGACAACCACCCATATACTAAACATAATATGAGGACTCCAGTATTAAGGGCCCTACCTAGGGGCCCATAGGTCCGACCTCAGGCTTTAAATTCAAACCCTAAGCCCTAAACC